AAAAAAAAAAAAAAAAAAAAAAAAAAAAAATTGACATGAAACGAATTAGAGACCTTTATCCTTTCGTCGCTGCTAAACCCGTCAAGCTGATTGAGCAATTCTAACATAGTTCTTTGCACTTCTCTATCCCCACTAACTTCACTGCATAGAAAGAATCATACGTTCAGTCATCAGCACATTATCCGCGCCAGAGCTCCTCAACACACAAACTTGTTAATTACTAATCCAGCATGCCAAGAATCTTTCTTTAAGCACCTACCTATCAAAACGTTTTGTGCCAATAGCATCAATCTCATCAATGAAAATGATGCAAGGAGATTTTTCTTTGGCGAGTTGGAAAGCATCCCGGACAAGTTTAGCTCCATCTCCAATGAACATCTAGCATGTGCAAAAGTTTTTATAACAGCATGCACAGAAATTAAAGATAATTAAGACAAACAACCAGCATTGACGCAACTTGAACAACCACAACATATGAGTGGTTTGCTCACAATTAAGTATAACTAAACAAATAAATATGGTCCTCCCCGAGCCATCACACATGTCCACTTACTATATTCACAACTGATCATAAAAATCATTTTAACTCACCATGACAGTAGTTCAGCCGATCAGGCAATACCAGCTTTCACCATGACATGGGTACCAAGGTAGAGCTTAAAATCATTGCATATGCAACTAGAAAAATGGGGGGGATTAACTTGAAGCAGAAAATACTATAAAATCCACCAAGAAGTATGAGCCCCATTGGAAGAACTTCCAAATAGGTGACATCCTAAGAAAAGCTAAACCAGCAACGTTTTAGGACACATTTTCAATACTTAATACCAAACTCAATAAACTACCCCTGCCACAAAGTGCATTTTCAATACTTAATACCAAACTCAATAAAGAACGACAAGATCCCACCCCTGCCACAAAGTGAATCACAAGGTTGCAAAAGCTCTTACGGAGGGAAACTATTTAACATAGCCTACTTAATCTAATGACTACAGATTAACGATTGAGTTTAAAAATAAGTACTCCATTCAAATACATTACACAGTTAGAACATTTACAACCTGGTGCCCTTCAGAGTGGTTTAGTAAAACAAAACATTTTCTAACGCTCGGCAACTGTTAGAAGTTATGTTTGTCCCACATAGTTACTGGGCTGATAGTGTGTATAATGTGGGTTGGGCAACCTCCCATTTTGAGCTAGCTTTTGAGGATAAGTTCTACCTAGGCCCATTTATCATGGTATCAGAGCACCATAGTTTTGTTTGTTTGGAGGCGATGTTGAGTTGTGGACCCAACCCATTTGGTTTTGGAATGCTACACGTTAGGGCGGGTGTTAGAAGTTATGTTTGTCCCACATCGATTAGTTTTTGAGCTGTTATTGTGTATAAGTGTGGGTTGGGAACCCTCCTCTCCCTTTGAGCTAGCTTTTAGGGATGAGTTCTGCCCAGCCCATTTATCAGCAACAATGTGCCAATAACTAACATATCTTAAATTCTAGCATGGGGACTTTAGGATTAAGAAACTAAGCTAAAGCAAGCAAGCCTGATAATGAATGAAAAGAGGAAAATATACCTGTACAAGCTGGGGACCTGCTAGCTTTAGAAAAGTAGCATTGGTTTGGGCAGCGCATGCACGAGCCATTAAAGTTTTCCCTGTCCCAGGAGGGCCATATAAAAGGACTCCTTTTGGAGGACGGATTCCTAGTTTTTGAAATCTATCTTTGTGTGTCATAGGCAACACTATGGCCTCAACTAATTCTTGAATCTGAATGTTCCAGCAGAAGACTTGTGCATCAGCGAGGGAACAAGAAGCAGAATTCATTGTTAAATTGGAAAATTACTTGCCTGTTTTTCCAAGCCTCCAATATCATTATAATCTTCAGTTGGTTTCTCATCTACCTCCATAGCTTTAACACGAGAGTCATATTCGGAAGGCAAAGTATCCAAAATGAGATAGCTGTCTTTGTTTACTCCAACAAGATCACCAGGCTTCAACTTATCAGGATCAACCAAGCCCACTACAGGTAGGAAAATTGTCTGACATTCATAGATTATATAAGAATATGATGTCAGAAAAAATCGTTCATTGCATATAGAATGGAAATCCAAAGTAGGGGTCTTTTACCGAAAAAATTAAAAAAAAAAATCTTGAATTGGATATTCTCCAAAATGTTCACCATTTACCATAGTATTCTAATTGTAGAATTCAATAGAACAGGGTGTCCAACAAAAACTTCACACTTCCAAACAATAACCATTTGGCTAATGTCAAATTGTCAACTTGATGCAGACAATTGACAATTCTTTCAAATAAAACAGAAATACATCTAATTAAACTGAAAAAGAAAAAGAAAAAAAAAAAAACAACTTTAACAGGTGAAGTCTTCCCATGCGCAAATGCTGAATTGGAAAGAAACTTCCCGCCCAAGCCTAAAGCCAATAATCTCTATTCCCCGAAACATAAGCCTAACTGATAGCTCAATGTTTACTTAAATAAAGACTGAACACTAAATATAACTCTAATGGGTGTTCTAACCCAATGGTTGCAAAGCCCAATTAGATGTCAGAAAAGACTGCATTACCCAATGTCTACTACTCTACTTGAATAGAGAATCAACCCTTAACGTTACACTAATGGGTTTTCTAACCCTACATGCCTAAAGCCCAATTAATTATTAAAATAAACTAAGATAAACTTTTCTGCTTGATACGTAACAATAAGATAGAGAGATTACAATTGTGTCGAAATATATCTCTATAATACCACTGTGTGAGCGACAACCAAACTCAGATCAGTTGTCTATCAAGCAACTAAAAGTAACCTGACAACAAATTACACATATGCTCAAACAGGAGGAGGAGAATAAAGAAGACGGAGAAAAAATGCAAGCCGGTATTCTATTTACCTGGCGTGTAGATGTCTTCAGAACAACACATTTCCCCTTCCTTTGTGAGTCAAGATCAATGTTCGCCCCATCTTCTTCGGCTTCTTCCTCAGGGTTCATTTCCAATATCTGAGAATAAAAAGGAGTGATTATCTCATTATTCTGCCAATAACACATCAACATACACCAAACAAACTGGAGTGCTGATAAAATGGTTATCAACTTTGCACATATGACATATGCCCTAAATAGGCTTTATGAACGGCCTTTAAGAAACATCGAGCCTCACAAAATCAGATAACTATCAGTACTGGACAAAATTAGTCAGTGTTATCAATCTTTTTGTCCCCCTTTTCACTGAGAAGCATTACTTACTAGTTCAAGAAATCTGGGAAGTGGCTAAAAGTTTATTTTTTTTAAGAGAGGGGGGAAGGAGATAGAAGAGAAAATTGTTAAGCAAATAGAACATGAAACTATATAACTATGTTAAGACAAAATAGCAGAACAGGAGCATTAAGTCAACTGACACCAGAGATAACTACACAACCAAGGAAAAGTCTGTTACTGATAATTTGCTCATTAAAGTCTGTTAACAAACTACATGGTCGGGCCAATGTCACTAGGCAGAAATTGGGAAAACCATCACTTCCAGACCACTATCAAAACCATGGTCATGTCAAGACACAACCTTTCCCCTCCAAACAAGCATTCACAAGCAAAACCCTAAAGTCAGTACTGTCAGAAGCCTAAAAGATAAGCAAAAAATACATAACTAACTTAAAAATATTACAAAAAGGTAAAAAAATTAGCGAAGTCCAACACATATGATAATTATGTACCTCGACAATGTTCCCAACCAAGTAAGGAAGCTGCTTGTTCAGCTTTATTTTTTCCTGATTTTCTTTTATCTTTTCCCGGAATGAATCCAGCTCCAGATTCGTTCTCTGCAACTCTTCCTGTCGAAAGGGAGGGAAAAGAACAAAATTACCACCACCAAATAAAAACTTCGCCAGAATTTAGCAATAATCGATTTCATAGCCTCTGAAATCTGTTTCACTTTTAGCAACAGGGAGATGTATTAACCTTGAGGATTCGGATTTCGTTATCGAGAAGGCGAGAGGAGCGAGTGATGTCGTCAGTTGTCATAGAAGAAAGGTGGTCGTCCTCGAAGTTGTCTTCAACCATGGGCGTCGCCATCTCCGATCAACTCGAGGGGGAAAATGGGGGTCGGTCAGTGGGTCGAGAGAGAGAGAGAGAGACGGAGAATTTTCAAACCGAGAGTCGATTCCTAGTGACAGTAAAATCTGACAAACGTGAGCAAGGGGTAAGAGAATATACAGAAACGGGCCGAGAATGGTCCACGGTTTTGTATAGGCCTGACGAACTACGGCCCATAAGATGTGCACGTTGATCAAGGAAAGGATTTGAAATACGTGAGCGAAATTTCTTTAAGAGAAAACTACCACATCCATCCCGAAGATAACTTTTATTTATACATACACTAATCTTATTTTTTATTTGAGTTATACCAATTCTTTAATTTTTATTTGTACTTATACCAATACCCTTGTTGTTACAGAGTTATCCAGAAAAGAACTGGGGAAAGTCGACCTTTAAACTCAGACCAGCGTCAAGAATAATTGTGAAGTGTCGAGCTGAACGAGAAGTTGGGACAACTGGGACGATAGACGGCACCACCCCCGAAACCAGCACCTCCATCGTCTTGGACACCGAGCTGAGAAGTGAATCCCCGGAGGACGGGGAATCAACAAATGTTAAAGGTCCAACCTGAAGATTCTTTGTGACCGGCTCCCGCACGAAGGCGGTGCTTGAAAATAGTATAATACTGCCACTTGGTGCCTAATGATTGGTGATGGGATGTGTCAGTCTAGCCTGTTACTATATAGTATCTAGCCCGACAGAAATGTCTGACAACATTAAATGCCTTCATGTGTGCATTAAATGTCTGACATGTAATGATTGAACAAACCTCAAATCGCATCTTGTCAGGGACGCGCCGCTCTTTCCGTCAGAACTACTATGCGACAAGACATGTGAACAGTACCTGAACAGTGCCAAATTAAGGTTACTATTAATAGGAAGCCCATTTCATTTTATGATGGGTTGTTGAAATCCCCAACTATTACTTTTTTTGTCTAGAATCTGTAATAAATTCTCGCAAACACTCCCAAGTGAAACAGAAGTGACGACCTCAAGTTCAGAGGTCGGCCTCGTAATTAATAGTAAGAAATCAGCTTTTCGCGTATTTTATTCCCTCTTCTCATTTTCCATACACTAGATCTTAATTTAACCGTTGATCGAATTCGCCCATCAACAGTTTGGCGCTAGAGGAAATGTACCATAATTTGCTTGGTGCCAATTGTTCGACCTTGTGGAACACCACTCTCGATTTCACCTTATTTTCACTCTTTTTTTCTCACAAAGCTCCCCGAAGATGACTTCTTCTGGGCATGACGAGTCAACTCACCAATCTGGAGAGCAATCGCGTCGCCATGACGGCGAAGAGATCTCACGTCGGCACCAGCAAGGGCCTCAAACCGCGATCCCATCGGTTCCGAGGGAGCCTTCGCTAAGGCATTAGCAAGACACGCGGCTGGTGAGAACACTATGGCGGCGACGGAGAACCCCGACAACACTTTGCTCCAAACTCCAGAGAATGAAGCCGGGAGGAAAGGGAAAGGGTCGGTCCGGTGGAAGACCACGACACAATCGCCCAACCGGGAGGCCCAGAATCGCCGTGAGAAAAATACTAATACGGCACGGACCGACGAGAGTCGCAACGAACCGAGCCTGCAAATTGTCTGTAGGTCGGCTCACCAATGTCTGGGTGAGAAGAGCCAGAGAAACCGTGACCTAAGGGAAGTCATTGAACGAAGGAGATGCTGGAACACGTCGACGAGGCGGTCCTCCCCACGGATCGATATCGGATACCAAACATGTACATACATGATTTCGAATAAACCTAAGCATGCTTCTAAAAGAAGAACAGAGATGTACCTTTCTCGTCAAGGCTTTGATTCGATCTGAGCGATCTTCTAGTCTGTATCCCGACCACGTTTGGACGCCGGATGGACGACGATCCTCCAAACGGTTGAAAGTTCGGACTGCCCTCGTCTTTCTCAAAACCCTTCTCGTTGCTCTCTCTTTCTTGGTGGCTGAAAGACTCACGAGTTTTCTCTTAGGGTTTGGTGTTGGAGTAGTATACCCGGCGTTCCAATCAGATTGGACGTATTCTACTTGTAAATACAATCTATTGGAATTATATTAATTAAAAGGCATTACTTTATCTTAAGAGTATGCATTTATCATATAATTGCACTTAAGATAAAATCCCTAGATCACATATGTTATAAGGTATGGTTGCGCATAGAGATGGTGATCATGGAACATACCTTGAAAGCAGTGATCTTAAATAAAGTTCCAATTCGATGGATGTTTCGAGATGGGATATCGAATAATCCATAAAAGAATTGCACATAGTATGTATGTTTGTTGGACAAGAATATTGCATTCCATCAACATTAGCGTGGGACGCAAGTACCTATATGTGAGTGCTTGTTAGAGAATAAGTTCACTGAACATGACCGTATGAAAATA